TGTATATATGTATATATATATATATATATGTGTATATACCCTAACCTTAGACCCGCCTGCTGCAGACTTCAGTCAGCGGGGCATGGCACGGTGACGTGCACCTTCACCTTCTTTACATCGTGGCCTGGGGATTGGTAATCCACCAGGGAGGAAGCAACTCCTAATCTCTTAATCTGTGCGTGTTGAGCACTCACGGGGGAGCTCGCTGCTTGGATCCATCGGCCCATTACTGGTTTATTCAGCCCCCCCTGCTTTGTGCTCCTGGATCGAGTTTCCACGCAGCCATTATGTGGCGCCCTGGAAACTGCAGTGTCTAATGGTTACAGCGCTCCAGAACCTGCCATTAGATTAACGCCACTCTGATTCATGGCTGTTGCTGTTGGCGAGCCCTAATGGGAATCAACCGATGGCTGATGGGTCTGTGTGTGCGTGGCGGGGTGGTGGGGTGGTGGGGCGGCAGCAGGAGATGTTTCCAGAGCCGGGGCGGAGGGTAAACAGCAGCTAAGTGCCTGTGTCCGTCGGGGGAATCTGATAAGTGCTGCACTTCTCTTTATGCCTTCAGTTTGCTGTAATCTGGAGTTAATCTGATGCGTCTGTTGTCTCCTCCTGCAGTGATGTTTCATGGCCCGCCCCCGACAAAGATCAAAAGAGAGTCGCCCCGCTCGAGGTCGTCCTGCGGCCTGGACGGGAGTCTTTACGGAGAGAAGTGCCTCTACAGCTACAGGTGAGCCGCGACAGGTCCATCAGCTGCTTCTGTGTTCGTTCTCTAACAGCCCCCCGTCTCCGCCCGCAGTGCCCCCGACAGCACGTCCACGCCCCCCTCCACGCCTGTCTCCCCCACCCAGAGCCCCCCTCCACGCCACCACAGAGCCAGTCAGAGCTCGCAGCTGGACTCGCAGCAGCAGGCGCCCCCCTTCACCGTGCCCTGCGCCCCCGCCTGTCAGGATGCCAGCAGCTTCACACCTGAGCACAGGTGAGTCTCTGTCCTTCAGCTCAGCGTCTCAGTAAGCACCTTTTCTAACGGACCCCTCCCTTTTTAGGTTCCAGAGGCAGATGTCGGAACCGTGTCTACCTCTGCCCCCCACCGAGAATCAGATCCGACCCCATTTCTTGGCCCCCAGCAGCAGCCGACCCCTGTACCAGCGTCAGATGTCAGAGCCACTGGGGGCCAGCCCTCCTCAGGGTTTCAAGCAGGAACTCATGGACCCACGATACAGCGAGCAGGGGGTCCCCGCCATGGGCCCCCCCGCAGGTCCTCCACGTCGCGCTGCTTTCCAAGCCATGGCCGTCAAACAAGAACCCCCCGACTTCTGCTTTGACTCCGGTGAGTCGGGCGGTTTCTGTGCACGGAGAGTGGGCGCAGGAATGTCGAGGCATGTTTGCTCTTGGTGCTCGCACACGCCTGTGAGTTCTGACACGCAGCAGCGACCCGGACCTGCAGCTGCTGGTGCTGCCAAGTCCAGAACATCATCCCTGTACGTTGATGTGGGTCCTGAAAGAGGACTTTAATCCAGACCTTCCTGGAATGTATCTAGGCCACTGGGCCACCTTCAGATCAGAGTGTTGAACAGGTTCTGCTCACTCCAACAGAACCAGGGTCCAAACAGAGCCCGTCCTCCTCAGAGAGCCTGGGCCAACCAGAGTGGCTGTCTGCACCGAGTGTGACCCGAAGTTCTGCTGCCACAACCCAGAACTGGTTTCTCTCTCAGATGATTCAGGTTTTGCTGTTTGAGTTGTGGCCGCGCGGTGATGTAACAGAAAATCCTCTTAGCTTCTTACGGCCTTTAAATCCCGACGTCATCGGGACCTCCTGACTCTGGGCCGGAGCAGGAGAACTGCAGCACCTCACCGAGTCACTTCCGTCACATATCAGGTTTTATCTGAGATGAATGAACCGGGACGTGATGGGGGGTCGGACCAAGAGGTCCAGTTCTGACAGAACCTGTGTAATTATGAATCTGGATTTAGACTAGATCTGCTAGTTGGACAAGAAGAAGACCGGTTCAGCCTCACTGACAGTTCAAACCTTTTATGGGCAGCTGTGGTTCAGTGGTTAGAGCAGTCGTCCTCCAATGGGAGAGTCGGGGGTTCGATTCCAGCTGCAGTCACACATTGAAGTGTCCCTGGGCAAAACACTGAACCCTCGCTGTCTGATGTGTGAGTGTTTAAACAGCTGCACTTTTCTCTCGTGTCTGCAGACGTGTCGAGCAGCCAGCCGTCGTTCGGCGGAGTGGGGAGCTTCTACCAGAACAACCAGGAAGGTGAGTTGAGGTCTGCTGCTGGTTCTGTGTGGCCCAGTTATGATCCAGATCCAGAACTGTTCCCAGATCCTCTGTTTGGACCTGCAGCCCCCTCTTCATCTCTGTGCTCTCATGTCAGGTTACTCCTTCGACAAAGACCCTCAGGTGTACTTCGATGATACGTGTGTGGTCCCTGAGCGACTCGAAGGTGAGCTGAAGGAGGACACCGCTTCACCGTGCGCTCCGAGCGCACTCTGACTCCTGCGCCTCCTTCTGCTCTCCCTCTCCTTTCAGGTAAAATCAAGCAGGAACCTGTGGGTTATCGAGACGGGCCTCCCTACCAGCGCCGGGGCTCCCTTCAGCTCTGGCAGTTCTTGGTCACGCTGCTGGACGACCCGGCCAACGGACACTTCATTGCCTGGACCGGGCGCGGCATGGAGTTCAAACTGATCGAACCTGAGGAGGTCGGTTCTGCTTCACGAGCGTTGTCCAGCGGCCGCAGTGCGTGCACGTGCTCGTTCATGGAGTTGTGTTTGTGTGTCAGGTGGCTCGTCGCTGGGGCGTTCAGAAGAACCGACCGGCCATGAACTACGACAAGCTGAGCCGCTCCCTGCGCTACTACTACGAGAAGGGCATCATGCAGAAGGTACCAAACCCAAAGGGTGACCACAGAACTCTGAAGGTCCTCGTGCTCTTCTCGGGGTCTTGATGTGGTCCACGTTGTGTTTCCTTCCCCAGGTGGCAGGTGAGCGGTACGTCTACAAGTTTGTGTGCGATCCCGAGGCTTTGTTCTCCATGGCCTTCCCCGACAGTCTGAGGCCCAGTCTGAAGGCCGACCCGGACCTGTCGGGCCTGGACGACGACACGGTGCCCCTCACGCACTACGACCTGCTGGAGGCCGGGGAGCCGTGCACGGCAGCTCTGCCCTTCCACAACAGCTTCTGCTACTAGGCAGGCAGCAGGGGAGGCGTCTGCTCCTTCTTGGTTCCCCCATCCTGGTCCTGGAGAACCCTCTGAAAACCCGATCCTCTCGTGGATCAGAGACGAACCTGCACCCCCCACCCCCACCCCCCCGCTGCGTGGAGGGGCTCCGTAACTGGACTCTGCTGGTCCAAAGCGAGGGCTGTTGCCACGGAGACCAAACAAACGAGGTCACAGGTGGACTGAGAGGACCCCGTTTGGACGAGCATCATTAGACCTGGTCTTTCTGGGGTTTTGGACGACCCTGTTTTCACCGTGAAACAAAAAAGGGCTTTAATTTCCACAAAGACGGACCAAGGACTGTCGGAACCGCCGATCCGACGTTTTCTGTACATAAGCTGTTTGTCGACACTTCCTGCTTCGGCTGCTGTCGTGTAAATGTTCTGTGATCCGGTCCTCTGAGACCCTGTGAGACCCCCCACCAGGATTCTGTTCTGAACGTTGGTCCAGTCCAGCGCAGCTCCACGGTCCAGTCCCACGACGCTTCGCTGGCTTTTCTAAAACAACAACTTTGTTCTGATGTGTTCGTGTTGAGGTCCGGACGAACCCGACTCGGTTTTTATTCAGATCTTCAAACGTCTCAGCTGGTGGTTCTGGTTCTGTCCTGATGGCTCGTCTCCGGTCGGACAGTGAGATGTTCTGCTTCTTGATGTGTTTCAGAGAGCAACAAGGGCTGCTTCAGCGCTGCACTCAGGGCCCGGCACCGTGTGGTTCTGAGGGTCCGGACCCGCTCCAATAAAACCTTCACCTCCAACCGCTCCGTCTTTTCTTTAGAACACACCGACTGCTTCACCTGCAGAAACAACACAACAGAGCAAACGGACCGGGTCACAAGGAAGACGTGGGTACCATGGGTCAGAACTGAGTGTCCCAGATAGTCCAGAGGACATTTGACTGATCAGAGACAAATGATTTAAAATATATTCAAAGTAAAAACTGAGACTAAATTCATTAGAGTCGTGACAATTTGTGAACGGATCCACGACCTGAAGTCAGCAGGTCTCCTCAGGAAGACCGGTCCAAATGTGAGGACCGTAGTAGGACATGATGTCTCACCTTCTGTAGTCTCCAGGGATCCGGTCCACAGGAGAGGACCGTAGTCGGACATCACGTGTCACCACAGGTCAGGGTTCTAACCATCGGTCCGACAGGTAACTCCTTCAGTGCTCTCAGGTGTTCTGCTGAGAACGTCCTGCTCCAGGTCTTAATGATGGACCCAAGACAAGGACCTGGGACTTTTTTATTTGAGATGCTTTTTAAAACACAGTCTCACCGCCCCGCTGTATATAATCAATCACACACACACAGTCAGCTGACCGGCTGACCTTCATGGTTCTGACCCACAGGCCCGTCTGCTCCTGCTGCAGTTCTGGGTAAATCATCCTCGTTGGCGCTGAGGGAACCTGGTTTCCTGTTAGACCATCACACCTAAACCCAGAACCAGAATATTTAGTGACCACGACGAGACTCGGGTTCTTTTAGAACCAGAGGTCTGCAACAGGCGGCTCCCGGGCCACATGCGGCCCTTTGTTCCCTCTGCAGGACCGTCATGGAGCCGTCACCACATCTTACATTTAGATCCATGACTCCAGTCAAAAAGGCTACTTCGAGTTTTTCTGACCATTTTGAGGCGAATTGTAAAATAAAGACAAAATTATACAAATCAGGAAAATATTAAATCTGATGTTTGATGAAAAATTAAACTTTTTTAAATATCTGAAGAAAAACAGAATGGAGATTTTTGTTCATGTCACAAAATATGACAGTTAGACGTTTAATAAAAATACAGCAAAAAAATAAAGTCTTCAACTTAAAAATACATTTAATTATATTTAAACATCCAAAAATCTGACTTATTATTTATACGTTTTATATAAATAAATTGAATTAATAATTTATTACAATACTGTTGTGTGTTTTATTACTACAAAGAACTTGTTTAAATAAAGGACTAAATTTACACGAAACGGTCTCATCTTTGTCCAACATGGACAATAAATAAACAGCATAACCAGGTCTTTTACTTCATAATGTTCCAAAGTATAGTTTTGTGTATATTGTATGTAAGTAGCAGCTGGGGTAGTGCAGTGGTTGGGGCTGCAGGGTTCGAGCCCGGGTTGGTTCAGGAAGGTCATGTGATGTGAAAACAACAGCCGAATCTTTGAAACGAGTTTGATCGCTGCCGGAGGAAGCAGCTGAAGGAACATCAACATCTAGGATTTACATTTGTTCTTGTCAGAGAAGTTCTGCTCAAAGGTTCTGGATGTTTTGTTACTAAGAAGCCCAAGCCACTCTCATCTCTGCCCATGAACCATATGTTTGGGTTGACGGAGAAGGACACCTCCTGAGCTCGGTGGACTGGCCTGAACTGATGAGGGTATAAAAGCGAGCGGTTAGCGCAGCTCGAGCTTGGTCTTCATGTACTTTATGTTCTGTAACTGTCCTGAACATCTGACCTTGCAATTAAAATGCCGGTTAAAAATCTTCTGCCGTCGAATGGTTCTTTAGGGGAAACGACACAAGCGAGTGTTTTTCTCCAAGAATTGTCCCGGTCATGGAGGGGAAGTGGAACTACCGTCCATCCGTGCATGTTGTGAAGATGATAACTTAATATGTGAAGTACGGACTTCCATTTTGATGCGAGGCTGCGTCTAGAAGTAAGAAAGGTCCCTTTCCAATTGAATTGGTGTGTGTGTGAGTGTGAGACCACCCACCACCACTATCATTTCTAGTTTTTATATAGTTTCTTCAAATGATTGGGGTGACCAAATATGAATCTGCAGTGGTCAAGGCCACCGTCACCCCCCAGCTGAAGTTCTACACATGGATTGGAGACACCTGTGGTGGCTCTGGCCATTTTAAGAAAAAGAACTCACAGTTTTTGAACGAGTTCAAAATAAAGCAACAAAAATCCAAGCCTCTCCAATTCAAACAAGGAAGCTGAGAATCTCTGTGAACGTGAGACATCCTAGATACTCTCACAAACGATGTCCAGCAGTCTGAGCCCAGGGAGGTACTGGCTTCAGATCTTCTGCACATCCAGGGTAAGTGGTGTAAATCAGGGATAGCACAGATTCAACATGGCTGCATGCGTCCCTCTGGTGCTTTGACTCCATCAACCTGCAGACTCAGAAACGAGCGAGGCCTCTCCATTGCTGTGGCGTGATGTGAGTCTGTGGGGACGCCCAGAACGGAGAGGCTGTTTTATTTTTCATCCAGGGGTTTAACTGAGACTGTACTGTTGTCCTCACCAGAGCTGCACCAGTGGTGTGCTTCAGTCTGTCATGGCTCGCTGTTCAAGAACCTCATCAGAAGAGACCAGCCGTCCATGAACTGTTTGAACGTAGAGGCTGAGGACCATGGAAGCATGTTGTGGTCTGTAGGTACAGCAGTTTCAGAAGGATCAATAAACGTCTTCTTTTTAAAGTCCAGAAGAAAAGTTTTTATTTTATTTATCCTTTATTTATACAGGAAGTCTCACTGAGTCACAAGAACTCATTTTCAAGAGAGACCTGTTCTTTTTTTGGGAGCAGATGGTGGGGGTTGAGTGCCTTGCTCAGGGGCCAGAGTGGGGCAAATGAGGGTGAAGGCAGGTGTGGGTGTTTCACATTTTCCACCCACATTTGGATGCTGACGGTACTGGGAGTTGAACCTGTGGCTTTCTGATTACAGGCCCATCTTCTCTAACCTCTTCACCACCACTCCCCAAAGACCCAACTTCAGAAAAGGATGAAGATAATGGATGATGGATGGATGGATGGATGGCCACATAGATGGATGGATGGATGAATGCATGAATGGATGGATGGATGATGGATGGATGATGGACAGATGCATGGATGTATGTATGTTTGTATGAATAAATGAATCATGGATGAATGAATGGATGGACAGATGGATGAATGGATGGATGGATAGATGGATGATGGATGATGGATGGATAATGGATGGATGTATGGATGTATGTATGTATGTATGGATGGATGGATGATGGACAGATGCATGGATGGATGAATGGACGGACAGATGGACGAATGGATGTATGGATGAATGGATGAAAGGATGGATGATGGATGGATAATGTATGTATGTATGTATGTATGGATGGATGGATGGATGATGGACAGATGCATGGATGGATGGATGTATGGATGAATGAATGAATGCACGGATGGATGAATGGACGGACAGATGGACGAATGGATGGATGGTACATGGATGGATGGATGGATTATGAATGTATGTATGAATGAATGGATGGATGGTACATGGATAATGGATGTATGTATGTATGTATGGATGGATGGATGATGGACAGATGCATGGATGGATGTATGGATGTATGAATGAATGAATGCATGGATGGATGAATGGATGAAAGGATGGATGATGGATGATGTATGTATGTATGTATGTATGTATGAATGAATGGATGGATGGATGGTACATGGATGGATGGATGGATGAATGAATGCATGGATGGATGGATGAATGGTTGGATGGGTTGTTGGATGTTGGCTAGCTCTGGTGGCCTTCTTAATTTGGACTGACTTCAAACAGAAATCAGTGGTACACCTAAAGACCATCTACAAGTTTTATGAGAACACTTCCGGTGGTTCATGAAATTGTCTGTTTACGGAGAAGATACGGAGAAGATGGTTTGACCAAAAATAACTCCAGAGATGTTTTGAATCTTCATGTTCAGGATATGGATGGATGTGCGTTCTGGTGGCTTCCCCTGGAGAAGGTGACAGTGGGATCAACAGGTTTGGGGTAACCTGACGGTGGCCCTGGTATGCCTCAATCTGGTGTGGACCTGATCCACATCGCTGGCTCCTCCTAGACTGAGCACCTCCAGCAGCTGGTGGTGAACTGGTGTGAATGTTTCCAAATCATTCAGCTCCACTTTTCTTCTTTACGATTTTCAGCAGCAGTAGAGCTTGTTAGCAAAATGCACTTACTGTAAATAAAACACGTGCACGGTCTTTGATGCAACATATACACACAGACATATATTTATTAACCTAATCAAAAATTAACATAATAATAATTTTATTATTATATTTAAAAAAACATTGCGCAGCTGCAAAGTAGTTTACAAGGAAATAAAAGAAATTAGCAACAAAAAAGAGGGAAAACTCGACTGAAAACAGGCCGTGGCGCTTGCGCAGTAATGGATAAATCTAAAAAGGTTGAATTCGTCCAGAGGACCTGAGACAACCTTGTTAGAAACACTGAAAACAATTATTTTGCACAAATTAAGTATTGAATAAAATTTTACATGTAACATTTCATATGTGCTGAATTCTCAAGTTTTCTCTGAAGGCACTGAGGGATCGTGGAATGGGTAACAACTAAATCACTTCCATGACGCTGAAGTTTAATCATCAAGTAAGTAGAGAAGTTTAGTTATCCAGGAGAGACTCCGAGTAAAGCATCTGTTCCTCCAGATCCAGAATAGCTAGTTGAGGTGGTTAGACATCTGGTCAGAATGCTTCCTA